ACAATTGGCATGTAATAGAGAAGGCCATTGGATCAAATCCAAAGAACTGGAGTCCAGAGAATAAGCCAGATAAGAGATCCAGACCCAGTAGAGAGCTAGCCAGCCTTGCCTAACTGTCTAATATATTGGAAGCAGGCCACATCCCCAAATAAGGTTCCCTTCAATTGATTAGTTGCTCATAGAAGACCTCATCATAGAGTTGATTATATTAGCTCTCATCATGGGGGATAACTGCATCTCAAGTGCCAAATCACTGAGAATCCTGGCCCAATCAAGTGGACATAAACCTTAATTTTTACAGTGGTGTGGCACTGTAGGATCAGCACTGGACTGCAAACCACACAGTCAGCTGTTCAAACCAACCAGCTACTCCTCAGAAACCCTATACAGGGTCGCTATGAGTTGGAAACAACTTGACAGCACTTCAAAACAACAATGCATTAAATATGTTCTTGAGATGGTTTCCAACTTTAGGTGGGATACACTCAAGGTCATATTTTGGTTCTCGCGGACTTGCTTTAATTTTCTTCAGCTTCAGCCTGAACTTGCACAGGAGGAATTGATGGTCTGTTACATAGTGGGCCCACGGCCTTGTTTTGGCTTTTATTGAGCATCTCCACTGTTTATTCCCATAGATGTAGACTATTTGATGTCTGTGTATTCCATCTGGAAAGGTCCACCTGTAGAGTCACCATTTATATGGTTATAAAAAGGTATTTGCAATGAGCAAGTCGGTCTTAAAAAATACTGTCATGCAATCTGCAACATTGTTTCTATTAACAAGGCCTTATTTTCCAACTACTGATCCTTCTTTTTGTTTCCAACTTTTACATTACAATCATTAGTAATTATCAGTGTGTCTTTATTGCATGTTTGATCAATTTTAGACTGAAGAAGTTGGTAGAATTTTTCAGTTTCATCATCATTGGCGTAAGTGTTTAGTGCTTAAATTTGGGCTAAGCATTAACTGCTCTGTCTTAGTCTGGAAGCTCTACTGAAACCTCTCCACCATGGATGACCCTTTTGGTATTTTAAATGCTAGTAGCATAGTTTCCAGCATCATTTTGTTGTTGTTGTTGTTGTTAGGTGCCATTGAGTTGGTACCGACTCATAGCGATGAGTGTGGCACAACAGAATGAAACACTGATCGATCTTGGGCCAACCTCATAACTGTTGTCCACTGATGCTGCCACTTTCCCAATCCATCTTGCTGGGGGTCTTCCTCTTTTTCTCTGACCCTCCAGCATCGTAGCAATACTCAAATCACCACAGCATGACAAGCTGACAGGTGAGTGGTGGCCAGATTCCATTATCATTCTTTAAAGCTATAGAAAAACTAATCACTAACTTTATATGGAAAAGAGAGACTCTTGGTAAGCAAAGCACTACTGAATAAAAAGGACATCCTCACACTTTCTGATCTCAAAACTATTACCCAGGCAGAATATTTAAAACAGCCTAGTACTGGCACAGTGACAGCCACATAAACCAATGAAACAGAATGAAGAAGCCAGAAGAAAATCTATCTACCTAAGGAATACTAATCTTTTGCCAAGGACCCAAACTCATTAAATGGGGGAAGAGTGCTAGCAAAACTCGATGTCCATTTGCAGAAAAATGAAACAAGATCCATATCTCACACTGCATACAAAAATGAACTCAAGGTAGAACTAAGCCTTAAACATAAAATCTAAAACTATAAAGACCACCAAAGGGGAAAATAAAATAACGACAATCTTAGGGTCCCTAATACATGCATATACACTATCAAAAATAACTAAAAGCACATAACAGTAGAAGACAAAACTAGTTTAATGGTTGGTTGATTTTGTTCCATCCAGTTGGCCATGATTCATAGAGACCCTGTATAGGATTTCTGAGGCTGTAAAACTTTATGGGAGCAGAAATCCTCATCTTTCTCTTGTGGAGCGACTAGTAGATTTGAGCCACTAACCTTATGGTTAATAGGCCAACACATAACCCATTATAAATCAGATAGTTATGCACATCAATGATTCCATCAAGAGAGTAAAAAGAGAACCCACACTGGAAAAAAAAAAAAATGACCTTATCAGACAGGAGACTAATCTCTAAATATACAGTTTGAAAACCTCAATAGCAAAACCAAAAATAATCAATTTTAAAAATTGGCACAGGACATGAATAGACATGTCACCAAAGAAGACATTCAAGTTGCCAAGGAATACATAAAGAAATGCCATTAGAGTGATGCAAATCAAAACAATAATGAAATATTATCTCACCCCAGAATTAACAGCAAAGTTTTAAAAAAAGAAAACAGCAAATGCTGGCAAAGATGTGGAGAGACTAAAACCCTCATACACTGCTGGTGGGATTGTCAAATTGTGCAACTACTGTGGAAAACTTTGTGGTGCTACCTTAAATTGTGCACTGAATTTCATTGTAGCACTACTCACAAAAGCAAAAAGATGGGAATAATCTAAATGTCCATCAATGGAAGAATGGATGAACAAACTAAGGTACACATACAATGGAGTACTATGCAATATTAAAGAACAATCATGAACATGTTCCATTGGCAACCACCGACCTTGAGATGAGAGAGAAAAGAGGAAGGGCTGACTGGTTTGAAGTTTAGAGGGTTGTGTAAATCCCTGAACCCATGGGCACTAACCTAACTCCTTGGGGCTAGGACTGAGAGTGAAGGGGCCAGATGTTCTGAAGTGCAGGGAGGTGTGCATGAACTCCTAAACTTGCAGTTCATACCCATGTGACCTAGATTGGATGGCTAGGGCTGAGCTGACCAGAACCTGACCAGATGAAGATAAAGACGTTTGATACCATGAGCAAGAGTATATTTCTACAACTGGATGAACTGAACTTTTGCTTATGAAGGCAGTTGCTTAAACTTGTAACCAGAATGGAAGATTCTCCATATCAAGTAACATACTTGCCTCCTTAGTGTACTGGGTTGATTGTTGTTGTTAAGTGCCGTTGAGTTGGTTCTGACCATAGCAACCCTATATAGGGTTTCTGAAGAGCAGCTGGTGAGCTTGAACTGCCGACCTTGCAGTTCAAATGGATTTGCAGTCTGGTACATCAACCCACAGTGCCACACCAGGACTCCATCACTGGGTTGATAAGAACGGGCAATTTAGATGCTGGATATAAAAAACAGGGAAACTATAAAGGGATAGAGTGACTGGCTTATAAGCTTTCATGGGTGTGCTTAGTTTCAGAATGAGGGTGGGTAAGGTAGAATCCCCACTGAATAGTTTTCTTCTTTGCCATATGGGTCTGGTGAAAGGGGGTGGTCGATGATGCTGATAGGATTTTATGATTCAATTGTGAGTAATTGTTAGCAGGATTAATTGTGATAATCAAAACTGAAATTGTAGAAGATGTGTAACTAAAAGGGGACAGTAGTCAATTGTTCATTTCTATAACAGACGATCCCAGGACCATCAAGAAGGAAAGAATAAGTGGAGCATGGGATCCCTACATACAAGAGCGGTGATGGCAGAGACAGTGGCAGAGATGGTGGTGTGAGGCTGTAGGCATATGGATTGAGTAAGGCTGTGTGACTATGGGTAGGAAATTGGCTTGCAGAATGTGCCCTTTGGACATTTAAATGAATATATATTTTTTGTTTTGTATGTGTGCATGAAATATTTTTGTTTTGTTCATTTGCAAAATATAAGATGTAAAAGGGAAACCACAGGGAGGAAATAGGATCACTGTTGTTTCAGGGAGGGGATTATAATCATTGAGATGAAACAAAGTGTATGATTTGTTGAATGTAAAAAGCAGATGATCTTATCTGTAACCCTTTACTCAATTCACAATAAGAAGTTAAAAAAAAAAAAAAAAAAAAGAGTAACCAGGAATCTAGGAAACACCTTATAACATGGATAAACCTGGAGAACATTTTGTTGAGTGAAATTAGCCAATCACAAAAGGGCAAATATTATATAAGACCAGGTTTTCACACACACACAAGATACAATCAAAACAATGATTTCTGAAGGGATATGCAGAACCAGTTAAATTCAAGATAGAGAGGTCAATTCAGAAGGTTATGGGGAGGTATTTTTGGGATTCCCAAGGGGTAATCTTGAGAGATTTTTCTTGAAGGAAACAGGACAATCATGGGGGCTTATAATGAAGATGTTTTAAGAAAATTGAAAACTGCATTGCTGAGAAAAAGGCTAGGAAATTTGAAACAAGAAATTGTTTTTTTCCATTACAACAATGCATCTGCTCATTCTTTGAGAGTAGCAAGGGCTGTTCTATAAGAATTTCTTGGGAAACCTTACCCCATCCACCCTACAGCCTTGAGCTTATCCCTTCAGACCTCTTTTTGTTTTCTAAACTCGAATATTTCAAAGTAACATGGTGTGAGTTCCTTGGGGGTGTTAAAAATTCCATTTTAACATGGTATAAATTGATGAACATAGAATTCTTTGGGGAAGAATTATTGTTTTTAAGTGCCGTTGAGTTGGTTCTGACTCACAGCAATCCTGTATAGGGTTTCCAAGGAACAACTGGTGGGTTTGAACCTTGTAGCTCTCAGTCCAGTGTAGATCCAACAGTGCCACAGTAAAAAAAAAAAAAAAAAAAACACCTTTAGAAGTATATAGGCCTAGAAACAATATCATGAAGCAATAGCTTTACATTTTGGTATTTTCTATTTAGTAAAGTGAATCCTTGTGTGACACTGTATGATAAGCACTGGATGGAAAGGTTGATTTGAACTGCAAGATCGGTAGTTCAAACTCACCAGCCACTTCTCGGAAACACAATACAGGGTTGCTATGAGTTTGAACAGACTCGATGGCACTTAACAACAACAAAAACATTTTAGTAAAGGTTTCTATGATTTTGTAGCAATATTCTTTTACTTACTTTTGTATTTATTGGGGAGTAAAAGGTCCCTCTGATACAAGGAAAACATTTAAAAAACATGAGACATTTAAAACAAACACCCTGGTATAGAAATGCAATTTATTCAACCTTACCACTTCTCTCCACTCCAAACTCCTTGCCACTGAGAATGTGATGAAGGAGGCTCTTCATAGCTGAAGGACTGAGATTCATCAGGCCCTCCGTGGCTTCCTCAGCTAGTCAGCAAAAACATTAGGACAAAGGGGTTTCTAATTTGCTTGTCACATTATCCCCTTATTTTTATTATTTCCTTTCTCACTTTGAATTTCTGAGTCATTTGAGTGGAAGAAAATTATTACAAAATAAATTTCTAGTACCATACTTCTTATGTATCTATATTTCAATGAATTCTTAATTATTTAAGCACTGATTATCTATTTTATGATTAACCTGGTCATTGATTTATTCTCCCTCCCACTCCGCACATACTACTCAATAGACTCAATACACACTCAATAGTATCTATATTTGAAGATAGAAAAAATGAAAGGGGAAGAATGAAAGGAGCTCAATCAGAGAAAGGCAATGAATGTAAGGGATACTACATGAAGATGGACTAGAATAATGAAACTTCCTAGTCTAGAAACATAGAGACTTAAAAATTGATATTAATCTATGAAATTAAGAAAATTGATACAAATAACTTGAATTTGTTCATCAACATCTGACTAAGAATTTACTACATGTAGGTCATAATTTTAAGCAATCTTAGCACAGACAGGTATGCTATGGTATCTGACTGAGAGAAGACAATCTTTTATTTTGGAGATATGGAATATATAAACAAGATACACAATAATAAAGCATTATACATATTAAGTGCTAAATGACAGATATAGACAATAAGTGATCTGAAAATCAGAGGAGGTATTAATCTCAAGTATAGGTATTGCTAAGTAGGGAGTACTATTGAAGTGTGGCACTGTAGGACTAGCACTAGACTGCTAACTACAAGGTTGATGGTTCAAATCCATCAGCCACTCCTGGGAAAACCTGTACAGGGTCAGTATGAGTTGGAATCAACTTACTTAGCATCAATAACAACAACTGTTGAAGTGGTAGATAGAGGCCAGACTGGTGAGGGTGTTGAATATCAGGTGCAGATGCTTATACTGAATTGCATAAGCAACAAAGAGTCATGGTTTTAATGAATTCACACACAATAGTATCCATAATAGGTATTTAAGTGTATCCATAATAGGTATTTAAGAAACTGTGAAGAATGTTTAGACCTCCTCTTTTGAGATTTATTTTGACCACTAGACCCTGTCAGAAAACATTCCTTGATACTATTGCTAAAGAATACTAAATTTATCATAAGTTTGTCTATAACAATGTGATGAGCTAGAAATCATTTGGAATCAGACAGACCTAGATTCTAATTACACTATTTACTAGCTACATAACTTGGGGCAAGTTACTTAACCTTAGTTCTTATTTATTTATTGGTAACTGGTAAAAGTGGGACAATAATGTCTTATCCAGATGGTTGTTGTATGGATTAAATCAGACAATGAATGTAAATATAAAGCAAAAAGTATGGTGCCTGGCATATAAACCTATCCCCCACCTCCAAATAACAACAACAACAAAAAACAAACCCATTGCCACGGAGTTGATTCCAACTGATAGAGAACTTACAGGCCAGATTAGAACTGCACCATAAGGTTTTCAAGACTGTAAATCATTATGGAAGCAGAGTGCCATATCTTTCTTAATGGAGCAGCTGGTGAGTTCAAACCACAGACTTTTCAGTTAGCAGCCAAGCACTTTAACCACTGTACCACTAATATGTTATTGTTGTTAAGTGCTGCTGAGTCAGTTTTGATTCATAGCAACCCTGTCTGTATAGGGTTTGTTGTTGTTAAGTGCCTTTGAGTTGGTTCCAACTCATAGTGACCCTGTATAGGGTTTCTGAGAAACAGCTGGTGGATTTGAACCACTGACCTTGCAGTTCAAACTGACCTTGCAGTCCAGTGCTTATCCTACAGTGCCACATAGGCTTTCAATCTTCACTGGAACAGAAAGCCTCATCTTTCTCCCATGCAGTGGCCAGTGAGCTTGAACCACAGACTTTGTGGTTCACAGTCTAGTGCTTATTACTTATTGACCTTAAAAGGGTTATTTATGATGCAAATTATCTTACGTATTTGATTTAAGTTAGGCTCAAACTAATATATTTAGCTACTTGATAATAGCTCAGCTAAAAGGCTTTTGGGGGAAAACCTCTACAAGAAAAAGACAAATAACCCAATTAAAAAATGGGCACAGGATGTGAACAGACACTTCACCAATGGGGAGATCAAGGCAGCCAACAAACATGAAGAGATGTTCACGATCACTAGCCATTGTTGTTGTTGTTGTTAAGTGCCATTGAGTCTATTCCGACCCATAGCGACCCTATATAGGGTTTCCAAGGAGCATCTGGTGAGCTTGAACTGCCGACTTTGCAGTTCAAACGGCTTTGCAGTCTGGCGTATTAATCCACAGTGCCACACCAGGAATCACTTGCCATTAGAGAGGTGCAAATCAAAACAACAATAAGATATCATCTCACACCAGCAGTAACAGCAAAGATCAAAAAAGAGGAGGACAATAAATGCTGGTGAGGATGTGGAGAGACTAGGATACTCCTGAATTGCTGGTGGGATTGCAAAATGGTCCAACCACTCTGGAAAGCAATATGGCGCTTCCTCAGAAAGTTGGAAATAAAAATACATTATGATCTAGTAATTCCTCTACTTGGTATTTACCCATAAGAAATGTGAGCCATAACACGAGTAAATCTATGCACACCAATGTTCATAGCAGCACTATTTACAGTAGCAAAAAGATGGAGACAGCCAAAGTGCCCATCAACTGAAGAATGGATAAACAAACTATGGTGCATACACACAATTAAATATTATGCTACCTTGAAGAATAACAAGGAAGCTGCAAGCCATCACATAACATGGATGAACTTTGAGGAAATTATGTTGAGTGAAATTAGTCAGTCAAAAAAAGAGAAATACTGCATAGGACGACTACTCTAAAAGACTAAGAAAAAGAACCCATACTAAAGGGGGTGGGGATTCTTTGCTGGTTACTGAGATATGGGGGTGGGGTGGGGTGAGGGGAGGGAGGGGAAGGTGGAGTACAGTAGGGAATAGATACAGGAGAGTTTGGGTGCTAGGGAGGGGGCAATACATAAGAAGGGGGAGGGGAATGGAAGAACAAAGCTGATGGGATAGAGGTGAATAATGATGCACAACCTTGGAACAACAGGGGTCTGGGATACAGAGATTGAGACATGGTTGGAATGGGCAAAGGGGGGGGGATAATGTTAAGATGCTTGGCTGTCTTTTGAATCTTTTGAATCTTGGTTTCCCTGGCATACCATTATAAAATAGACACTTGAGGGGGAGAGAAAGGAATAGCCAGAAATATCACCATAGAAAGCTTGTAAGTCTGTCTTCTACCTATAACTGATTGGAATACCTAAAAGGGTGCTACAACATGCCCAGTGAAGGAGGCTTCCTGTGGAGCCTCTGCATTACATAAGACCATAGGTGGAATCCTGAACCCCATCCAGAATCTTCAGAGGTGGGAAATTTCCACTTGAAAGGTCAAGCAGACCAGCCTGGAGTGGCTGGAAGAACAGAAGATACTTCTTGAAAGAAAGACCGACAGGATAAATACAAAACAATAACGGCAGTCTGACTGATTACTACAAGATCAAGCAAGTTGCTTGCCCAGGAGACATCAAGCCAAGAGGCCGGGTCCCCTCAGGGCCAACCCCATTCCAAGACTAAGACTCAATGAGAATACATGCTCTGATTGATGACCATGTTCGTCACCGATAAGGGGAAGTGAGGGAAAAACAGCAATGAAGTTGCAAGCTAAGCCCTACAACGTTCAATACACTCCTGTGAACCTGGCTGGAGACCTGGTTGGCCAGCAGTGTGGCAAGACCTGGAGACTCTTGGGCCCAGAGTCAGTGACATAGCCACAGAGGACTAGAGTGGAGAGTGAAGCGTCCAGCTAATAAGAAGAGAGGGCATATGCATAAAAACACCCACACTTGCAGATAATACGCACTAGACCTGGCTTCAATGACTGGATGATCAGAGCTCAACTAGAAGAAGAAAGAGGGAAAAAAGAGTATCTGATGAACTTGACCTATACCTATGGATGCAGTAGCTCATAAGAGGGAAAAAATCTTTATAGTGAGGATCATACTCATCCGCTCCATACACAGAGTAGACAGTGATGGGCAACTTGGATATTTTGGCTACCCAAAATGTGGTGGGGAGGCTACAAAGGCAAGAAGTGACTGGCTTACAAGATTTCAAGAAGGAGCCTAGATCCAAAGGGTACAGAGGAAGGCTGCAGCTCAAACCACTGTAATTCATAGGGTTTTCATTGGTTTATTTTCAGAAGTGTATCACTAGGTATTTTTACTTAGAATGTCTTAGTCTAGATCTACTGAAACGTGTTCAGTATCATAGCAACACATAAGACTTCACAGACAGATGTGTGGTAGCTGCAGTTAAAGTACATTGTCTGGGAATCAAACCTGGATCTCTCACATGGAAGGTGAAAATTCTACCACTGAACCACCAATTGCCTCTGAAGCTTCAATAAGCCCTAAATATTTTTCTAACTGACATTGTTATCTTGCCAAATATACCTAATGTTGTTGATATTAAGTGCTGCTGAAGGTTCTGATGCATAATGACCCTAAATATGTTGTTTAAGGAGTGGTTGGTAGGTTTGAATTGCTGATCTTGCAGTTAGCAATCTAGGACTTATCCTATAGCAATCACACCAGGACCACAATAAATATTGATAGAAGTATTTTATTCCTTTATTTGATCATGATGTTGACTTGTCAGAATACTGACACTATGATAAACAGATACAGTGAATAAATCTTAGTGTCCAGATGCTCCACTTCCTGAATCCAACATAATTTCTTAAATATAAAGTTCAAAGCACTCTCCAGATCACTCTAGGCGTTAGCAAGAAATGTGGTTAGCCAACAGCAGTTAGGGAGTATAAAGGTGGAATTTTGAAGTTACAGAACTAATAGTATAGAGTTGATATCCTATAAATCCTGTGACCTGTTTGAACAATTATGGCCTAACATGGGAGTACAATTCTGTCTAAAATAGTTACTGAATTGAATACCTGAGCATCGAAGAGAGTGGGCTAATTCTGTTGCCATAACTTGTATGATCAGACCAATTCGAAGTCGAAACATTTCAGCAAAGAGGCCAGGCTGAGTTCGCATATACATGGCTAAATATACCATTATTTCCTGTACACAGAATAGATATAGAGTAAAATTATGGCCTGGATGTAACAATGCCTATTTTGTGGTCTTAGGAAATTGTTAGACCACTTGAAAACAAACTTTAAGATATCAATCACCAGATTAGGCTTTTCAACTATTCTTACCTGTGTAAGAATTGAAATGCTCATATCCCCTTCACTGGCTTCATCTATCAGCTGAGTGAGTGCTTCATAGGGCAGAGGTCTGAGGAAGAAGACAGTGAAGAAAGAAAATTCTGCCACTACTTAAACCTTAATGTACTGAGAAAATAAAAACTTCTTTCCAACTCAAAGTCACTATCTCACCATCTCATAAAGACAAGTAGCATTTGTTCAGCCTTAGGTAAAACTGCCTCTCTAATGGCTCTGTCCCATATCAATTGAAGAGAGCTCTTACCTTTCATCTATAAATCTGGAATGTCCTCCTCCTTCAAAATCTTATTTAAACTCAACCAATAATAATGTTCCTTCCAGACTTATATAGTTTGTCCTTAATATTTGAGTTCTATTCCTTCTTTATTTTCTCTTCCATCTACTCATGGCCTATTATTATCAACATTCTCACTATGAGTGTCTCTGACAGAAGCACACACATGTAGTAACTTACTATTCATTGACATATCAGGACAAGAGAATTGTGGTAAGCTTATAGAGCTCTCCAAAGTTAGCTTGAACAAATCCAATAAAAACCCATACTCACGCAGAAATGGTCTTTTCTCGAGGTTCTGGGGGGAGTCCTACGGTCAAATGTTTCTGGTGAGAGAGAAGGTCTGTGCAGGCCTAAGAAGTGATAGCAATATCATCATTATCCTTCCCATAACACCTCAGATTTCCACAAAAATTTCTCCTGACTCTCAGCCTAGAAACTTTTGCTCCTCTTTAACTTTCTTTGTAAAGAAACATCATGAAGATCAGAAAAGATAGATTTCTAGAAGTAACAATGATGTGTTTTTATCTTCTAAGAGGTAGAAATTGTAAGCCCAGTGCCAATTCGTTCTTAAGACAAAACTGTTAGAGATTATACATGTCTACACTTCTACATACTTAGGACATATTATCAGGAGGGTCTAGTTACTGGAGAAAGATATTATGTTTGGTAAAGTGGAGGGTCAGAGAAAGAGAGGAAGACCCCCAACGAGATGGATTGGCACAGTGGCAGCAGTGATAGGCTCAGGCATAGCAATGATTGTGAGGTTGGCCCAGGACTAGACAGTTTTATTCTGTTGTGTATAGGGTCACTATGAGTCAGTACCAACTTGATGGCACCTTAAACAACAACAACACTTCTATAATTTTTATGGTTTCGTATATGTATTTGACATTCACAAGCAAAAAGCTAACTGGATATTAGAAACTTTATGTGGGAAAGACAACATTTCAACTTATTAGACATTGTGTGGTTACCTTAAAGAAAACAATATGGAAACCAATTTTTTAAAAAGCTCCCACATTTAAATTTAGTTTATCTAGTATGCTTAAAGATGAATTTATAGTACCTCATCAAGGGCTTCCACCTTCTTTCTCAAGATTCCAGAGATGTATCGGATTAGGCCCCAATGTCTAATTTCACCAACTTTGTCATATAGTTCAGTAAGCAGCTCTCTGACTGTAGCACTCCCTTCAACATACAATCCAGTATCCCAATCAGGTCCTCTGGAATTTTAAAGACAAGAGTGCATTCATTATAAAGCCTCCATCAACAATCTTTAATTTTGGTGTTATTATTGATATACCTTGTGCCTTTTTTATACGTCTCCCTCCTTAAAAAACAAATGTTATTTCCTAAGAATACTTGTAATAGTCAGCCCTGACAGCCAAATACCTAGAAAAGAACAGGGCTTAGTTTCAACTGTACTTTGATAAAATACATTCCTTTATCCTCTTTATAGGCTTCAACATAGCTGAAATTAAAGACAAAGTTTAATTCAACAACTGAAAGTTTAAAAACCATGCTATACATAGGGAATGAATGGAAAAAATAAGAAGGATGTGTGTTTAGTTTTAAAGGATACACGTGTAGTTGTTAAAGGCTGTTGAGTCAGTTCTGACTCATAGTGACCCTCTATAGGGTTTTCGAGGAGCAGTTGGTGAGTTTGAACCTCTGATCTTATGGCTCAAACCAACCTTTCAGTCCAGTGTATTATCCTGCAGCACCATACATACATTATTGTAAATACTATTATAATTAACTATAAAGGTCCATAAGATACATAAAGTGGTATGAAATCAGAAATTTAATATATGATAAAGGTAGATTAAATTATTCATTAAATGATAACCAGTCAACCATCTTAATATAAAAAGATGGATACATACTTCACATAGTATAACAGAAATCCAAATATTTCAGACTTTCATGTTAACGTACCAACAACAATACTAACTTATATAGTTAACTATTTAGAGTTATCAGCAACTTATGCTTTTATATTTATCCCCTGGCCAATATTCTCCCAAGCAGCCATCCTCCACCTTAGACAATAATTGTGCATTTTATAGTTATCTCAATACTCAAAAATTTTTCAGGCTTTGGCAAAACAATCTATCAAACAAGCAAGCAAAGCAAAACAAAAATACAAACCTAATTACTATATTAGATTTGAGTATCCTTTTCTATCTCCAGGAAGTATCATGTTATATTGAGATGTTTATTGCCACAGAAAAATCACATTTTTTGTATTGCTTCTAAGAGATGTTCAAAGGATCCCTGGTGCAACAATAGTTAAGTGCCTCCTGCTACTCAAACAGTTGGTAATTCCATGGGAGAAAGATGCAGTGTTCTGCTTCTATAAAGATGATAGCCTAGCAAACACTCTGTGTCATCCTGCTCTGTCACATATGATCACTATGAGTCAAAAGTGACTTGATTGCACCTAACAATAACACTAGGACAATTTAAAAATGAATCTAGATTTTTGTTAGATTTATATATAATAGAAAGTACTCCGTTTGTATAAATGAAGAAAATCAACTCAAATTAGATTATGCTTTAAGAGAAATTCTTGGAAAATAATAAGGAGCCCTGTTGCCACACAGTTAAGCACTTGGATGCTAATCGAAAGAATAGCCCACCAAATGGCCCTGTGATAGACTTATGGGGGCGTTCTACCTTTTATTTGGGGTAACTATGAGTTGCCCTAGCAAACCTTATGGGGGATTTCTACCTTTTATGTGGGGTAACTATGAGTTGAAAAGAAACTCAATGACACCTAATAGCAATAAGATGAATCTTGGATTTTTCAGTAGCTTTGTTTTATAAAACTACTGAAAAGAGAAAGCATATGTTATTCATGATTCATTAATACATTGAAAAAATTGAACCAAGGTGGAAAGGCACAATTTGAACAACAAGAAGATAAGTGAGAAGTTGTGAATAAGGAAACCCGAAAGATCCAAGTCACTACATTAAAAAAAGAAAGAAAGAAAAGAAGGTTTATAGATAGGTTTCAATAGTAAAAGGACACTTTGAAGAGGATGAGGGCCAACAGGAAGGGGAAGATTACAAGATAAAATGTCTGGAGATCCCTTAGTAGAAAGAGGGAAGAAAGAAGATCTGCTGACAGGAGATGAAATTTAGGGAAAATAACAATTACATTATAATATGATTTTTAAAATTACCTATAAATTCAATGATGCCAAATTTGCATACAATTAATTCTATCCATGAAAATGTTAATAAAATATCTATTTTCCTGTAAAAAAAAATATGGGAAAACTGTTTTATAACTTTGGAGGCAAAAAGACATTTTAACTATGAAACACACTCATATACAAGAAGCCATGTAAGCATGAAACAAAACCAAAAATCTTATCGCAAAAACCACTGTAAACAAAATCATAGCACAAGAGCCTAGTTTCAGAGGGTGCGGGGGAAAGTAGCATCTCCACTGAGTGGTTTCCAACCTGTCTGGAAAAGGCTGGTGAAAGGAGATGGGGATAAGACTCTTGTGGTTCAATGGTGAATAATTGCTATCAGGACTGACTGTGAATTTTGCAAATGTAAAGGTAAATGCTTTGTAACAAAAGGAGGGGAGTGGTTAATCTTGCAGTCCAGGAGCAGCGGACCCTGGGACCATCAAGGGAGAAGAGCGGAGTGCGGGACCCTATCCAGAAAAGCAGTGATGCCAGAGATGAAGACAGAGACGATAATGTGGAGAGATGGAGCGGCTGGGGACTCTGGACTCAGGGAGGGAGAGAGGTTGTTTGCGGATGGCCGGGGGGCAGATTTGTGGGTGTGCCCTTTGGTTGTTTGAATAGTTATATATTCTTGGGTGCTTCAGTGTACAACATCAAAAAAAAAAAAAAAAAGAGGAATGTAAGAAGCAAACGCTGTTGAATGATGATGCATGGAGGAGATTGTGATCATTGCAATGAAATGAAATATGATAGGATGAATGTAAAGCTGATGTTCTCCCATGTAAATTATTACTCAATTTACAATAAAAACTTAAAAAAATTATAGCACAAATTAAAAACTGGGTAAAGGTATTTATAACTCATAGATCAGTTTCTCTAATATATAAAAATATCAAAATAAATAAAAACCCATTGCCATCTAGTTGATTCTGGCTCATAGTAACCTTGTATAGGGTTTCAGAGGCTGTAAATCACTATGGGAGCAGGAAGTCTCATCTCTCTCCCACAGAAGAGTTGGTGGATTTGAACTGCCAGTCTTACAGTTAGCAGTCCAGTGTTTATCCTACAGCATAACCAGGGCTCCTGCCAATAAATAAATAAGAAAATTAAAACAAAAAAATCTGGTAAAAATATCAGTGGCTTTTAAACATAGAAAAAGATGCTCAAATGTACTTATAATAAAAAAAAGAGAAAATTAACACTATATTGAAATATTTTTCACCTACCAGTTTGGCAAAAATTCCAAAATTTGATTAAATTGTTGGTGAAGCTTTTGGAAAACAGACACTCTCAATATATTGCTAGTGGGAGCAAAAGTTGGTACAAAATTGGGAAGGCAATTTGGAAATATATATCCACACTCGTGGAAGCAGCAGTCAAGAAATCAGTTGACGTATTGCATTAGGCAAATCTGCTGCACAAGACCTTTTTAAAGTGTTGAAGAGCAAAGATGTCAGCTTGAGGACTAAGGTGTCCCTGACCCAAGCCATGGCATTTTCAATAACCTCATACGCATGCGAAAGCTGGACAGTGAATAAGGAAGACAGCAGAAGAATTGATGCTTTTGAGTAATGGTGTTGGAGGAGAATATTGAAAGTGACATGGGCTGCCAAAAGAACCAACAGATCTGTGTTGGAAGAAGTGCAGCCAGAACGCTCCTTGGAGGCCAAGATGGCCAAACTTCGTCTCTCATACTTCAGACATATTGTCAGGAGGGACCCATCACTGGAGAAAGATATCGTGTTTCGTAAGTTGGATGGTCAGAGAAAAAGAGGAAGACCCCAGAGAGATGGATTGGCAAAGTGGCAGCATCAATGGGCTCAAATGTGACAAGAATGGTGAGACTGGCCCAGGATTGGGCAGTGTTTCCTGCTGTGCATGGGGATGCTATGAGTCAGTACTGAGTTGACGGCACCTAACAACAACAACAATAATGCGTAACGATTATTAACATTTCTTCATATGCTTTTTGGCTGCCCGAACATCTTCCTTGGTGAAATGTCTGTTCACATTCTGTGAGTATTTTTTAATTGCGTTATTTGTCTTTTTCTTATAGAGGTGTTGTGGTTTCCTATTGATTTTAGAAATTAGTCCCTTGTCTGATATGTCATTGCAAAAAAAATTTTTTCCCCCATTCTGTGGGCTCCCTTTTGACTCTTTGGTGAAATCTTTGATGTACTTAAGTTTCTAATTTTTAGTATGTCCCAATAATCTATTTTGTCTTCTTTTTTGTGTGTGCAGTGTTCACCATGTTTGGTCATCTTCGTGTGCCCTGTAGAGCCCTTAAATTTGTCCCTATGTTTTCACTGATGACCTTTATAATTTTGAGATTGACATTTAGGTCTTTAATCCATGCTGAGTTGGTTTCGGCATATGGTGTGAAATAAAGGTCTTGTTTCAATATTTTACATATTAATTTCCAGTTCTGCCAGCACCATCTGTTGAAGAGACTCTCCTCCCCATTCAATGTACTTTGGCCCTTTGTCAAAGATCAGTTGGCTGTATGTGGGTGGGTTAATTTCTGGATTCTCAATTCTGTTCCATTGATTTATGTATCTTTCATTGTACCAATACCAGACTGTTTTGACCACTGTAGCCATGCAGTGAGAGGCTTCCAACTTTGTTCTTCTTAAGCAGTACTTTGCTTATCCTGGGTCTCTTTCCTTTCCATATAAAGTTTGTAATTGTTTTTTCCATCTCTTGAAAGAATGTCATTGGTATCTGGATTGGGATTGCATTATATGTGTATTTTGCTTTGAGTAATATTGACATTTTCACAATGTTAAGTCTTCCATACAGGAGTATGGTATATTATTCCATTTTTGTAAGTCTGTTTTGGTTTCTTGTAGTAGTGTTTTGTAGTTTTCTTTGTATAGGTCCTTTGGTTCTCTGGTTACATTTATTCCTAAATATTTCATCCTTTAGTCGGCTATTGTAAATGGTATTACTTTCCTAATTTCCTTTTTAGTACTGTCATTATTAGTATAGAGGAATCCAACTGATTTTTGCATGTTGAT